CTCAAGCTTATATTGATAAGAAGTGATGGGCAAACAATCAATATGGAGATGTGGCAAATCAACTCCTAAACAAGCGTGAAAAGAGTGAGGGTAAGCTAATTCAAACATGTAGTTATAGTTTTCCCATCACTTCCTATGATTATGTGCCTGAGGACGGCGGGGGAAACCCGTCGAAACGTTGCATAAAACTTTAACCAATGATTGTTGTTCCATTAAGCTGTGTCTATATATCGTATTCACAATTGATTAAAGTCCTTCAAAGACCTTATATAACGTATATCACACGTAGAGTGGCTATAGGCGATAGCGAGGCAGAACGTTCTTATTATTCAAAGAAAAGAACAATTCTAAATCTCGAATGGGAGGGAGATTTCCCATCCCTATACAGAGATTTCATGATTCCAATTTTTAATCCTTGTTTAATCCTGTATGGTTTAATAGTGTCAATACCCTGTTTTGAGGCCAAATGTGATGAAAGCAAACAAGACAACAAATATTGCCGGAAATTGTGGAGTTGAAAAGATACGACATCATGTACTAACATTATAACAGTTGTTGTATTTATAATCTACACAAATCCATATACTTCGACCACTTGTGCCATCAACTACTATGTCATTTTATTGCTCTTGAATGTAAAATAACCCCAAAACAGTCGAGTTTTCTTATACGGCATAGCCTATTTAGTCTAAGGCAGAGAATAATGTAAGTGGCATGTTTTTCAAGGAGTTAGAAAGACCTATAAAATATCACATACAGCCGATTTAGCTACATCAAATTCTCTTTTATTAGTCACTAAAAGAGCTCCAGCAGCTCTTAAACTGAATATTTCAATTTCATATCCATTCATACCAGACGAATCATCTGTCCATCCAGACCAAGCGATCGTGTTTTTATTCTGAAAATAAATAATAGAACCATTTGATCACACAAAATGGAGGGATGCATAAAAAAATTCCGGGTTTTAACGCCATAAATTTGAAAATTTATCAAAGGAACATAAAAATGTATGATTTGCAATGATGGAAGTAAACTGATTTTCTTTTTTCATTTCAAAAGTTTTCGCATTATTTGTCTCTCAATAATAATTCTTATTAACTCACTGTTTTAGTTAAATCCAGATCTGTTAAAATGTTACTATTACAACCACTAGTAGGTTTACAGTGAGCTGGTTTTACTGTATCAAACTTAACAGTATAGGTAACTGATGATGAAGAACCAGAATATGTAAATTTATCATGCTTTCCGCCCTCCATATCATGTACTTGTACAAAACCACCATTATATGTTGATATGGTGATATCCAAACTATAAACATTTATTGTTTTACAAATATTACAAAAGCCCTGTCTCCGTGGTGCAAAATGTTTCGCAGCGCTTCAATGAGTAGTGTCATACAAAAAGGTAACAGAAGGGAAAGAGCTCTATTGAAATTGGACCCGAGCAAGACCGACTCAAATGGATATTGTATCTCAATTTATTCTTCCTAGTATGAAATTGTGTTTGAATCGTTCTGGAACACATCAACTAGAGACACGTTATAGATTTTTGCAGCTAAGGACATCCGTTATATCGTTAATTATTGTGGACTACACATAAAACAACAAAATAAAGTCTTCAGTTAAGGTTTCAGATTTGTTATTTCAGGCAAGGTTCAGAAAACGCTTGAGTACACTATTCTTTCACGAGAATGATGACTTTTAAAATACTATGGTGCCCGTATACAATCCGCAAGTAGAAATTTTTAAAAATATCGTTACTCCCATGGTCTTTTATATACCTTACTATTTTCTTACCTATCTAAATGGTTAAATGGTAAAGTTATCTTGCTCTTGTCTAACGTACTCGAACAGTCATAAATTGCTTGGTTAGCATTATAATCACCATGAGAAGGACATCCACCACCACTTACACTAAATACTGTTGATCCAGATCTCGACTCTATCAATGAAATGATTAAATGATTCTATTTAGGCCAGAGAATCCATACGTATGGATTCTTCTCTTATTGAACTCGTATCACTGTTTAATTAATTTAATCAATTTAATTAATTTTGTTAGAGTCAGAAACAAAACAACTGATATACAATTATATCAGGAAACAAACTAACAATAACTCACTTCTTTTAAAAGAAATACTTCCTTTGGTGATACCAACTTTGAAGTCTGAGATATAAGCGGGCTTTTCGGTTTTGGGTTGTTCAAAATGAGACTTGAACACGTATCGTAAAGTTTTTGGATTGACTATATTAGTCCAGGAAACAGGTTGAGCTTTGGCTGAATTAATATCCTCTGGTACTTCTTTAACATCTCCATTATCTGCTATGAGTTCTACTTGATTGAACAGAATGGTGGGTTTTGTATTGACTGAAATGGACAATGTGGCCATATCATAAAAATCTCTCTTGCATCCAATTGCTGTTTCCTCGTTTATTGCAACTTTTATCAGATCTTCATTTTTAATCTCCACATTTAGGTCTACTAATAATGTAATCGGGCTGCTGAATTTTGGGTAATGAATACTTACTTGTACTACAATGTTTTCCACTAAAACCACTGGAACACCTGCAACTACTGCTGCTCTCTGAACTACATGTACCAGGAAAACATCTGGTGCTATCACTCCGCCAGGAACATGCCTCTAGAATGTAATAGGATGGTGAATAGGGAATTGTTCCCGGAACATTAATCAAATTGTGATGTTTATTTAAAACATAAATAACATTTTTTTCTGTTCCAATTGCTATTAATTTGGTTAGTACTTGGTTTAATCATTTGTAAACGCCCACATGGAAATGTTGACCTATATTGCAGTCGCCTTGTCAGTCCGTCGGTCCAACCGTCGGTCTATCCCTTCACATTTCTTGAAATTTGTTATGCATGTATATATTGATGGAATATCGGTAAAGTTCAAATTTGATATTGGTTATAATCGGATAAACGGATTTTTGCCGTTGACTTATTAAAAACGCTTCAAATTTGGCTTGTAGACACGATTTTACAGTTTTATCCAATCTTGGTGAGACCTCGAACAAGTTAGAATTTGGTAACAATGAGGTGAAAGGTTTCGAAGTTATCGTCTTTGACTTTGTAAATTCGCGTTAAATTTGGCTTGTAGGCAAGATAGAGGTTCCAGAAATATCTGAACCTGGAGTGAAGGTATATAAATGAGATCTTTCTCAAGTTTGAAAATGAAAATTATCAGATTTTGAGTTATTGCTTTAGTCAAATTTGGTTTTAAAATTTGATAGAGGCAACAATTATGCGAGTTTTTGAAACATGGTAAGCCTACACGAATTGGTGATATTTTAGTCAAAATTGGTGATATTTTTTTTTTAGGAATTCCTCTCGACTGTTAAAGGGTGCCAAATTCTATCTATAAAGACTACAGTGTTTGACCAATAAATGTGTATGCTGATGAGATCTTGTTCATGTTTGAATTTGATGATAATTTGATAAACATGCTATCTTATAGAAACACGATGACATATAGAACACGTTAATAAGTCTATTAATTTCAAAAAATTCAAAAATCAACGACCTCGAAACTTAAGATGTCTCAAAGATGTCAAAGTCCATCTTTGTCTATACGTACAGCTTCGATGAAACTTGGACCGGTAGCTAAAAATCGTCGTAATTGACCGATTCTACAGTGGCCAAGGAATCTGATTTGTTGTAATCCATATCCATATCGGTGATGGGGAAAATCAATTAAAATTGTTCAGTTATTATGACAATGTCTTATGACAAAACTTGTGGGGGTTGCCAATTTGTTTGTATTGTAAACAAGTCGTTCGAGACTTGTAAATTGAATATATGCTTAATTGTTATCTCAAAATCCGATGAAAATTCCAAGACTATATTATAGTTTGAGACAGGTATATCCTGGGTGTCAGAGACTAGCTTCTAAGGTCTAAGGTTATATACATTTTACTTTAATTCTGAAATAATGTTCAAATACTCACGTAAACAAGTTTTTCTATTCGATGATGGAAAGTACGCCCTGTAACCCTTTGTTTCGGGTGGCACTGTACCTTCACATCTAGCACACTGGTTGTCATCTTTCACTTTACAGGTTTCATAATCACAGTGGTCAATGGGCATACAAACTATAATATTGAATTAAAGACTCATATCTCAATGAATTGTTAACTCCCTTGCCATATAAAGTTTGATTTGCAACGACACGATCTGTACAGTTGCTCATGGAATTTTTATCAAATTGCTATCATAATTTCAAGGTTAGCATCTTCATACATTAAGTTTTTTTTACTGATAATACAATTGGATAAAACATAGAAAATAGCTAAGACATTGTTTTATGTCTAAAATATTTACATCACGTGGGGTGTTTCAAAAATATTTAGGATTCTGAACTGAAAGTTACCTAGATACAGGACACAATATATCTTTTGTTTTAAACAAAATTGGTATGGTAAAAAAACGATGAATCTCTTTGAAACTGGTCACCAGTGGACAATTGAGTGGACCAACATATCTATTGTGTCCCTGCTATGAAATATAAATAAAGCAATCAAAGGGGAACCAATCTAGATGTACCTTTGCTCTCATTATTATAAACCACACTTACCGCATAACTCGTTTTCACAACCCCACAATAAAGAGTATCTAAACTTGTGTCTTCTATCTCTATGATAAAAAAAAATATAAAATATACCTGTATTAGAGACAGGTAAAGAAAAATAGTACGAAGTTTCAAAGTAATCATTAAAAAGAAGACGCCTTTTAAATGGAGACAGTACAATTCTCAAGATCTTCAAAATAAAATGGCAAAGCCACGTGTCACGAAGAGAGTTTTTAATGGTTCCTCATCTATGGCGGAACATTAGAGTCTGCTGAGTATACATATAGTATGTAAAGAGTATGCTCGAAAAGTTGTGGTCCATCCTTGCTTCTCTAATACTAGCTACATAGGTAATTATGTTTAATTGGCATATTTATTCCATTGTCCTTTCCACAATAGAAAGAAATGATAGAGCTTACTCTTTGCCATTATCATGATGACTCTCTGTACCAGTAATGTAATAATTCGACGGGACTTGGTAATCCATTCCTTGATCCCAACCATTAACAAAGCCAGTAGTAGTAACCAATCGACCTTTATGTTCTACAACAAACATATATTCCATTAACAATAAACGTAGAAATATAATACGTCGTTCTATTAATAAAAACCTGATGATCTATTAGCAATGAAAGCGCTAGCTTTATATTTTGTCTGTTCTTTCTTGAATGCATTGATATTTTTTGTACGTTTTATTATGTGGCAAATTTATGCAATCGATTTTTTTTTTAAACCTCTTTAGCACAAACTGAACTTTTTTTGACCAAACATCTTAAAGTGGGCTAGAATCAAAAATGAATATGCTCAATGAAAGTTTTGCTAACCCTGAAGAGATCTTACTTGTTAGTATTTCGTTAAAATGAAATATGTTATAAAAGTACGGAAAATTGCGCCGTAGCTTTGTATTATTTTGGTGTCTATCAAAATCTTGTTACTTTATCTAAAACTTTATCTAGAAATTTGATATTCGAATTTAAAAAATATGTGCCTGTTTGACTTTTTTTTGAAAATTCTTCCGGATTTATAGTTTCGAACGGCTTTGCCAAGTTCTCTAATAAACACAGGAGCTTGATTTTTTCAGATTATTAATGACTTTAAAATTCTCTTTTTGATGATATTTTTCAAGAATGCATGAACATGTTAAGAAAAATGAAAATGAAATTTTCAGAATTAGGATGCACTCGTTTTTCTCTCTTTAACGATGTGTGAAATAAATGGTTTACTATGAAAATTCAAATTATTAAATTTGACTAAATGTTAAAAAATCTAAATTTTGTGGTTTTATTCTTAAAATAAAATCCTAATGGTGGTAAGATGTTTGACAGCAGAGCTGTTGATTTAAGATTTCATATCTTTTTGTCAAATCAGTGAGTCAGCGAACATATTGATCTGATTATGTAATAATCTAACCCTTGCAATTTTTTTTTTTAATTTTGCAAAATTGTAACAAAAAATGTGCGTCCATGTAAAGCTTTAAATTTGCAAGTTATTAAACCGTTGAAATTTTTTGCTATCTTAATAAGAACTCATACTGTTTACTTGAGTACTTGTTTGGAGATATTTTTATTTTAGAAGAATGGATTATCTAATCCTCATTTCAATCGGGTTAATCCATGCCATTATGGTGTCGCTTACTCAGATAATAGGACATATGATAATTACGGCAGCATTGAAAAATAGCATTTTGAGATATTAAAGGCCAATACAAATTAATAACGCCACTTGAAGTTACCAATAAAATAGAGTTGTAATAATTTTAGTTCTGTTGATCAACTACAATTATTAATAGTCGTAAACATCCCAACAAATTAAGAAATATATATTTAGATCATCAAGATATGATTCACAAGAAATTTTACTTAATGATTCAAAGTGTGGGGATGAAAAGTCTAAACTATGCCAATCAATAATAGAAGATCCATCTATCAATATTTCTAGAAATATCTTTAAAGTAAATAATATGAATTGCAAATCATCTAATGTCTGTCTCCTTACCAGGCATGTCGCAACACCGATAACTCCAAATCCTATCTTCTTTCCCGTTATCGTGGCGACTTTTGACACCGGTCATAGCACCATTATTAGGACAGTAAAAGTTCACAGGAGCATCCCAACCATTGACATCATCTGTAAATATAGAATATTTATTAAACCATGTCCGTAAATGAAAAATGGGAGTCAATTTTAACATTTTATCAATTATTTTAGCTTTTGAATTTAACCATCTGTTCCTCAGCTTTGGTATAATCATTGCTTGCATGTCACACTTCTGGTGATCTACTGTTAATATGTGCAAGAGAATCCATAAATATTGGTCAAAGGGCGAGTGGCTTTACCCTAGGGATTGGTCGAACCAAGTCAATGAATTCCAATCCTAATGATGCCCTCTCCATTTAAGAAAATGACGCACTATTCCAGCTCTGACTACCTATGAGGTCCCTTATACATGAAAATTACTAAAACGTTTACTGTAGAGGACAGCATGGTGCTAGTTTCTTTAATCCTCCGACTTCTCCGACAGCCCGGTATATCGTGTTCATGCATTAAATCGACTTTCAGTCTCAAGTGTTTTACAATTTTTGATTTAAGGCTACGGACTCCCACTCATTTAGTTGAGGGTCTGAAAAACACTTAGCCTTACTTACTGTACCATGTGCATCCTCCCATTAAAGGTCCTATATAATGACAATCAAACTGCCATCGTCTGTCTTCTTTTCCATTGTCGTGTTCACTTCGTATTCTGTAGAAAGATTGGTGATAGGAACAATAGACATCCAGAGATTGATCCCAATCGTTTTGCCATGCCAAACATAGTGGTATAAATATTAATATCGTATGTAACAGAATTATCATCTAAAATACAAAAACAGATTTAATGCTTTTTATTATATTGAATATTATCAGAAACTGTAATACTCTTTAACACTGTTTCTCTTCCGAATGGTCACGAGAAACTGCCATGAGTTGAACACAACATTTTTTTAAGCGCACCATATCAATACGTCTAAACAGAAGAAAGACCAATTAATATGTAACCATTAGACATAGCCCCACTAAATACAATCTTGCCCCCTTAAAAAAATGTCAATTGTTATTTTTAAATACATTAATTCATTTTACTGAATCAAGGGGAGTCATTGTTATAAGACAAAAACTCCTGAGCCTTAAATTCGCCGGGGAATGTCAGGAAATCGCGTTTCCGGGGGTCTAATTCTCAAAATTTTAAAAGCGACACACTTCAGACCCTACACCCTACGTCTCATTCTCAATTTTTTCTGGGCGAGATCCTTCACATCCTATACAAATAATATTGAACCTTAAATTCGCTGGAAATGTCAGAATTTTGCGTTTCCAGGCGTCTGGTGGTGGTCCCACAATCCCTTTACAAAGAAACCTTAAATTCGCGAGGAAATGTCACGAAATCACGTTTCAGAAAGTCAAATCTCTAGAACTTTCTAGAAGAGGTCCCCAGAATTCAGAAAATCGTTTTTGCAGGCTTCCAATATGCGTCCTCGGTCTATAGAGAGCACTACTATGGTCCTTTGCCAAGTAAATGTGACCTGTTTTATAAATGTGTTCACGATTGACTTGGCTTCAAATAGCATGTGAACAATAGTCATAATAATTAATCTATTCATAGAATTTTGTCAGAAATAAAGCGCTTAAATCTCTTAACAAACAACACTCATGTTACAAAATTTGATACAGCCAAATGAATAATAATTCCAATAGCTCGGTCATCCTTGTCACTAATTTCTTATAAAACTTTACAGTGCAAAATGTGCCCTATTAAATTCAGAAAGGTGGACCGTGGGCCTTGGATGCCCGATCCGTTAATGAAATCCTCACTACGCTACTTGACATGAAACTTGTATTTCGATTCTGAAATATTTGAATGAACCATAAGGGAAAACTGACCTGAAGACATGCATATTCAAATTGTAATCCATGAGTTACAGTCCAGATATATGAAATTAAATAAGTAAAATATCAATTTAATCTATATCCACATCATTTATAATGAAATGAACGACAATGAAAAAAGGAAATAGACTTCCAGGCGGTCCAGTTCATGCTCCAATTGGTGATACTTTCTCTTCTTGGGGCGTTTCTTACCACCAGACTGGAGCTGACTGATGGTCGCTTCGGTCATTGCTTGCTCAGCTTTTATCAGGGTGATGAATCTGAAGGTGTTAGGATGGTTGGTGGTCATCTTGTTCATTCTAGCATGCCACCCCTCAACATGATTCGTGGTTCCCGGACCTACAGTGTGAAAATGGTTCCACATATGTATATCTTCTCTTTCCACCCAATGTTCGGTCACATAGTCAGCAAATTTTGCAATTGAGGGACCTTCCATGTTAGCGTCTTCAAGGGCATTGAACCAGTAATCTTCGATATGTTCAGGTCTAAGTAGAGGTAGAGCAGATGCTCTCCTCTGGCACTTTGCAAACCAGACTTTTGGACATTGCGCCAAACTGCCTGTCGATAGTGCAAAAGAGACATCCTTTCAGTTCACGGTCAAAAACATGTTCTACGGCATTCTGAACAGCTTTCTCAAAGTCAGTGAAAATGGTTCTTGGTCTATAAGGTGCAGGTTGCGGATCTCAGCCTTCTGTTAGAGGATGGTGAAGATGCGCTGATACGTTGATTGTTTCTTGTTGGGAAGCAGGGCATACACTAGAGGAAACATACACAAAGTTGGTGGAACACTTCTGGAACTGCACTAAAGGTGCCGTCACAAAACAAAACCTCAGAGCCGGACAGATGTCGCAAGTTTTCGGTTGTTGAGAAAATAAGCATAATCAGCATTTTCAGCAATTTCAAGACATTAAACTTCATCTGCATCAAGATGTTAGCCAATTGACAAACTTTTGCTTTGTCTTTGGCATCGCTCCTGCTAAACTAATGTTCTGTTCCACAGTGTACCAAATCAAAGTCATAAATCACACAAAACGCTTCCAGCTTTGGCGATAGATGTTCTGTTGTAAAAAAGGAATTTCTGCAGATTTCTGTAAATTTATGGAAAATTCATGCAGCCGACGACCTTCTCTGCTCACAGCTTGAAGATGGGAACGAAAATATGATGCAACACTGTTTTGAATCTAAAATATTAAAGAGGCACTGCTGTGCCAATTGGGGATTTTTGCTGACATGTGTTTAACAGGGATTTTGGTACTCCCTTGAAGAATTGAAAGAATGCTTTGGGGTTTACTTGAAGCAGGGAGGGTTAATTGGGCTTCTAATATACAAAATATATTATATGAATACGGTTTTGGACAGGCAAGGTGTTGTGAGTGAAACGACATTCCCGTGAGAATTTAAATGGTCAATTTACATCCATTTAAACTCACACTTGAAAATTATTGTTTACTTAAAAAATCGTTTGAATTTGAAAATTACTTAATCAATGATAGATGTAGACATAGAGTAGCACTAACTCGGTTCAGTTGTTCTAATCAGGATTTAGCTATATAAACTGAAAGATGGCAAAACATTACAAAACCTGAAAGAGTTTGTAAATATTGTGTCACAAGAAATTCAAATGTTATTGAAGGTGAAATTCATGTTTTGATAGAATGTGCATTATATACGGAAGTAAGGAAAGAAGTATTGTCTACCATTGTCGTGAGTAAATATAATGTTAAAATAATTTTTGAAAACATTATGTCACATATAAATAGCAACTGCATTGAAAATTTGGCTACTTATAGCATATAATTCAAAGTAAAGAATTGTGAATGTATACTAAACAGTTTCTATTATTTATGTTTACCTAATTATTATGAAGTATAAATACTCATTATGTTGGATATATTTTACATAGGCCTACTGTTATATATTTTTTGTTATTAAATTTTATATTGTGAAATTATTGTGAGTTATTGACGTCATTCTTGAAAATGTTTTCAAGTTTTAGACTTTAAACACTATAGGTACGATTCTTGTCGGAATTTGACAAAACTTGGTAATATATGGTTTCACCCTAAAAGTTCAAAAGAAGTGTATAACTGAAGGTTGAATATTTCACACTGGTACTTTTTACTGTACTGCCAAATATTTTTATTCAAAATCAAAGGTGCTAGTGGGCGTATATTACCTTGCCTGGCAAGCTATTATCTAACTATATCCTTTTACCATTGACTAAGTCAATATATGACACAATCGGTTTGTGAACGTGACCGAGACTTGTTAAAGTATTTACATAATTGTGTCAATGTAAATGCGAATAAAAATTGCATTACTTTTGTATTCTCCTCATCGACGTTCTGAAATCGTACCATCAAATTAAAAAAGACAAATATATAGATATACAAATAGTATAAATCGTCAAGAAAATTTATACCCTAAAATTATAAATGTAACTCCATACTAGCAAATTTCTGATTTTGTGATCAACATTTATTGCGTTGAGGACTTGGCTGACCTTTGAAGGTACGACTCAATTTAAGCTTGAATTAGCTCTGCCTCAGCTTTACCAAGAGTTCTGTGGAACAAAGTAATTGTTATAGAGACTTGTATCATTACAGCGTACGTACCATATATATATATATATATACATTATGATATAAAAATTATCTTTAAATAGCTATAATTTACAATATTTCACATATTAAATGATACATTTACCACTGCTTCAAATTAAATGGCACTTACCATGAGATTATTCAGGTGAAATGAATTACGATATAAGGGTGTGGGTGTCCTGGAAAGAACGGTAGGCCTTTACTACATAATCACGGATACATTCTTTTCTTTTCTACTTTATTATATGCTATTTATCATGTGATGTCTACTGAAAAAGGTGAATGGCGTATATATATGCAATATATATTGTTACGTTTGTCACTCAAAGGGGCTATAAAATACTTTTAAGCTTTGAAGAAAGTAAATAAGGATCTATTTCTAACAGGCCTGTAGATAATTTAGGAGAGGGGGGTTTCGCTGACAAGGCTCATAATCTCACTTTACAGGAGCATGAATGATAAAATATTCATCAAGTATTTCAAAAGTTAATCTAAATCGAATGAAACTATTTTTATACGCCCACATGAATATGTGGTCGTATATTGTCGTCGCCCCTGCCCGTCGGTCCGTCGGACCATCCGTCAACATTTCTTGTGAGCACTATAGAGACTACAGTTTTTAGCTGATTTTGATAAAACTTGGTGTGATGCTTTAGATTGATAAGATCTCGGTCAAGTTCGAATTTGACATATTTTCGATGAACGGTTTTTGAGATATTGCCCTTGACTTAGAACGCCTTGAAATTTGTTAAGAATTGAAGATTGAAGCTACAGTTTTCATCCGATTCTGATGAAACTTGGTGTGATCTTTGGAATTCATAAGATCTCGGACAAGTTCTAACTTGACGCATTTTCGATGAACGGCTTTTGAGTTCTTGACCTTGACTTTGTTAAAACGCGTCGAAATTTGTTAAAAAAAAGTTCGTGAGCAGGATTGAAGCTACAGTTTTCAACCGATTCTGATGAAACTTGATGTGATCATTGGAATTGATAAGATCTCGGACAAGTTCTAACTTGACGCATTTCTGGTGAACGGTTTTTGAGTCATTGCCCTTGACTTTGTAAAAACGCGTCAAAATTTGTTAAAAATAGTTCGTGAGCACAATAGAAGCTACAGTTTTCAACCGATTCTGATGAAACCTGGTGTGATCATTGGAATTGATAAGATCTCGGACAAGTTCTAATTTGACGCATTTTCGATGAACGGTTTTTGAGTCATTGCCCTTGACTTTGTAAAAACGCGTCAAAATTTGTTAAAAATAGTTCGTGAGCACAATAGAAGCTACAGTTTTCAACCGATTCTGATGAAACCTGGTGTGATCATTG